CCCTCCCGGCCCGGCCGTCCCCACGCTGCCCCCTCACCTGTGCCGCCCCTCCCGGCCCGGCTGTCCCGCAGTGCCCCCTCACCTGTGCCGTCCCTCCCGGCCCGGCCGTCCCCACGCTGCCCCCTCACAGAAGCCGTCCCGGCCCCGCTCTCGCGCCGCCCCCCGCGCTCAGCTGACTCACGCGGGGGCGCGGGGCGCGCGGGGGGCGGGGCCAGAGCCGGCACGCGCGCCGACGGGTCCCCGCCCGGGACAAAAGAGGCAAAGGCGGGAGCGGCACGTGGGTGCGTGTCCCGGGGAACTCGAGGCGCAAACGGAGAGCTCGGAACGGCCCCCACGGGCGGCGGGTCAGGACGTGGAACGGCTCCGCAACCACCCCGCTCAGCTACTGCTGTAACCGGGGGCACCGCAGCTTCCCGAGAGGCCGATCTACAGCCTCCCCTCGGGACAAGCCTGATCTGAATAGGTGTGTCAGCACATCGGTTTGTACAAATTGCACACGCAGCTCTGCGTGTTTTTCTACTTGCATAAATTTCACAGAATACGGTTAGAATACATAGAGGTAAATACACCTATATGTGTATATACACACTATATAAATATATACACCTGTGTGGATATATACAACACTATACACACACCTATATGGGTATATACACACTCTTTATATATATATATATACATATATATATATGGGTATACACACACTATATATACACAGACACCTGTATGGGTATACACACGCTATATATATATATTTATATATATATACACACCTATGTGGGTACATGCACACTATACACGTGTTTCTACTCAAACAAGTTTTGTAAAACGTACTTTAAATGTCACGTCAGCTCTCAGTAGACTATTTCTTATGTTGCCTGAAGCCTTCATTTAAAAATCATGATTCCGAAGACAGGTATAGGCTCTCTTTTATAAATCCTTACATTTTCTAAGTATAGCTATTAAACATTTCTGATAGAGTGTTTCATCCACTAACTGGAATGATTACTCCATATTTTTTTCAATAACCACAGCCACCAGCTATTACCATGCTTTCTTCATTTATCAGCTCTTGCTAACTGGCAAAAGTTGGATGACTTCATAACAGAGTATTTCCCCTCTCTTCCCTAACACAAAATGTACCCAAGATTAAAATTTATAATCTTCATATTAATTAATATGAATATTTTATATTGTCTGGGTTTTGTGGATTTATCTCTCCATTCTATTAAAATGCAAGTATTATTTGGTCATAACAAAAAAAATGTTTTCCAGATGTACAAACAATGCTTGCATCACCAGTTTGTTAACGATTATGTTGCATCTAGACAATCTTTCTCATGCCTGGACAGCACATCCAAATTCTACTGTATTCTGATGGCTCAAAGAATATGTGGAAAATAAAGAGAAGACCAAAGTCCATGATGATAGCTAAGCTATTTAGCAAATTATGGTTAACGGGGGAGAGTAAAAGAACATTATATGAAAGCGATCAAGCCTTCCAGGTATGTTCTGCTAGCCATGCAAAGGCTGACGATTTGGCTGCAACGAGACACAGAAATTGCTCCTGCCTTCCCAGGACATTTTTGCTCTAAAAAATCCTTTTGCTCAAGGAAAGACTGTTATTCTTAGACGTCAAAACAGTGAAGCAAAGGGAAGATTTCACATGAAAACTGAAGGATCTAAGGGATCACCATAAGAATACCGCATTATGACGCCTACTCCCTCACCCTTGTCAGCATTTTCTCTGTGTGGGTTGGGTGCTAGTCCTAGGAAGCTGCTCAGTGAGTCCTACTCGTGGGGGACTGAAAGAAAGGGACTTTTGTCTGTCCACATCCAGGGTAAGTCCACTGTGTGTTCCTTGCTCAGTACATAATTGATGAAACCTATTTTGGGCTGGATTAATCAGTTTACTCTGGCTATTTTGACATGTGGACAAGACTATTTTCTGTCAGCTCATGGCACCCCCTAGACAATGGGGGCAGACAGGTCCCCATGCTGATGTAAATGCCAAAGCAAGGACAGTCACTGTGCAGCTCCTGCAGAAAGCACAGCTCAGCCACACTTCTCAGAGAGCTCAACTTAGAGCCCAGTGGCTAAGGCCTGAAGCCTAGAACAGGCTGCTGTAGAACTGCTATGAGCCTGGAGGGAAGTCAAGGTCTATTCCTGTGTGAGACCTATCACTTCATCGTCCAACATATTACACTGAGAGCTGCTTAACTGAAAGAAATACGTACAAGCAGAAAGTTTGGGTTTACTGCTTAATTCTTCAGCTTCAGGTATGAAAAAATGTTGGCTGTTTTTGGAAGGCTGAAATCAATGGAGTTACTCCAGTGGTGAATTTGGACTTTCAAAGGAAAACTGCAGAAATCACAAGACTACTTTCAGGCAGAGACCTCATGCGGGTCACATGAACTGTTATTACAGACACAGAGGGATGAGGAGGAGCAAAGGAGAAAAAAGAGATACATTTTAATTGAAACAGGACAACATGGGAGACATGCTGTGTGTAAGTGCTATCAGACCAGGATGCTGCAGCTGCTGTTCAGAGAGAAGGGGCTCCCAACACATCCAAGGCCTTCAGCACACGGAAGCAGTGACTACAGCAGAGGTATTTAATATCACACCATGATACTTCTGCCTTGAGATAGGTTAAGCCTGGGTTCTCCCACTTGTGGGAGTGCAGAATAGTCACATTTGCTTCTAACCAGACAGCATCAAATTTTGCAGCTTCAGGCTTGTGAAGCTACTGAAAGAATACCTCATTGTCATACCTCAGATGACAATAAATGCCTTTGATGTGATGAACAGGGAAAGCAGATTGCACTCCAGTGAGCTCTGTGCCAATGAGGGATTGTAAAACAGGGAGGGAGCCAACAACCTACAGTTCTAGAGGAGGCAGCATGCCATAGATTACAAATCCTGTGTTGTATATGAGTCAAATTTTAATGCAGACACCCATTAACATAGCTGCTCAGGAGGAGCTTGCAGCCTGCCTGCCATTCATTACTACCTTTTTTATAGTTGTGTAGGGTATGGCACTGCTATGTGGGCCAAATTAGCAGGCTCTGTAAATTATACAATGGCAAGGAAGGGGGCAAGGGGGCTAAGGAGGAGAAGAATGCCTAAATGTAAACTTCCTGAAATTTCACTCCTGCACTTGGTTTTTAGTCCCTGCCCTAACAGCTTGTTATCTAGAGATTAATAAATCAAGGGTAAGGGGGAATAACATACATTTAGAATTATACCAGTAGAAGCACCTTCTGCAGTTAAATTTGTGTGTTCTGACTTTTACCAACACAGGAATACACAGACAGTTTTACAGACGGAGCTGAGAAACAGTACTGGAGATCTGTGATTGGTGGAGACAGAGATGAAAATTATGTGAAATGCTCAAAGCCAGTGCAGTCAAGGAGAAAAAAAAGATTCACATCAGTAAAATGGTGGTTTGCCAGTGACCTAGTTTGTCACCTTTTGTTATGCCAGCTGTCAGATGTAACCAGAGAATCCCTTTTTCTATCCTCACTGCAGTCCCTGCAGCTCCACACCCTCCAGAGCTGGAGGTGCAGGACACAGAGGCCTTGGAATTACACTGATCCTTCCCAGGAGCAGGATGCTGTGGAGAGGTTCAAATGGGTGAGTATGCAGCATCCACAGAGCCAGACAGGAGATATTTCATCCTACGATTATTCCAGCCATGAATCAGTATTTAATTACTGAATGACATGCTAGTAGCTTCTTGCTCTACCCAGCAATCTAAAACACATACCAATTTCTTCATGAAGCAGAGACAAGGCATCCCGTTTGGAGCTGCCACATCCTATGTACATCTAGAGAAGCTGCGTGAAGGATCCTGTGCAACTGTGTACAAGGGGATCAGCAGGTGAGCATTTTTGCCTTCTCAGTGCCTGGTGAAAACACCTCTTACCCAAGATAAAGGCAAATCAAAGGTCCAGCTTTGCCTTTAACCAGGATATTTGCAAAGCCTCACTCCAATTTTTCAAGGAACTCCTCCTCTACAGCCATGGAGGCTCCATGAAGACACGTTGGTCCACAGCAGGGTGTCAGGAGATTGTCTGGCTGAACCAGGGAGGGAGCGAAGGTTTTCCTTGACGTGAGGGATCTCTGCACGATGGAAAAATTGAGGGTGAGGCCATGCTGCCGTCACACGGGGCAGGAAAGCTGTGAGAGGGCAGTCTGGGAACACTGCTCAAAGCCATGCTCTAGCAACACCCAGTCACTACTCTAGCCAGGTGGGCTGGCTCCCAGCTCCCTGCTCATGGAGACAAGACAGAGGAGGTTTGTAATTCCTTTCTGTGCTTGGTCTGGGTGGGTGTGTGAGCGCTGGAAGTTTTGCTAGGGTAAGTGTGGAGCACCCCAGGAGACTGCTAATGCTGTCATGCCAAGCACTGAGGCGCTTCGAGTGACCTTCCACTGTGACCTGACAGGATCAACGGCCAGTTGGTGGCATTGAAAGTGATCAGGCTGGAGACAGAGGAGGGAGTGCCCTTTACAGCCATTCGAGAAGGTAAGACATTAAGGAACATCATCCTTGAAGAGTATTTGTTTTAACCTGAAAAAGCTCAGTGTGATGCCTTTCTTGGTCCTTTCTTCCCTACTCGATGTGCCAGCTGTCCTTCTCCCAAACCTCTTGGTTTCCTTTTCCCTCATGGAGGAGGTCTTCGTGCTGGGCAGGGTAGGCATGTGATGGACAGAGGAGGAACCTCTGGTATATGCCCTTGTGACAGATGCATCCATGCTTGTGATAAGGAAAGTGCCAGCTGCAGCCAGAGCATGTCCTTTCTAGCAGTGTAAGGGCCCTCTTACCCTGCCTGCCACCTGCTTTGTAGTTGCTTTCTCACTCCCACTAGAAACTATGCAGGTTTTGCTGCTTTTATGTTGGGCAGTTGTGGACTGGAAGTGCCCTTTGCACCAGGACCTCTGCTTGCTGTTATCACAGCTGTGCCACTTTCCTGGCTAATACCTAGAGCACCACAGATCCCAGCCTGAAGAGAAATACTTTCAATAAACCTGGTGTTTAATAATATCTATCATTTCAACCCAGTGAGAAATTCTTTTTATCAGTTGACTTTGTAGAGCACTGGGCAAAATGTCTGCAACTTGCTCAATTTCTTTGAGAAAGAAATGCTTTTGCTTAAGTGCTTGATTTTGGCTGAATGTATTTACATGTCCCTGCAGACCAAGTTCACAAAGGCTTCTATTTTCATCTGCTGTGCAATCCCAAGAGGATCGTCATCTAGATTCTTCCTTACACAGAAATATGCAACCTCTGTGCTGGCCTGTTGTCTGCTATTAGTGAAAGCTATCAATGTAAGAGGTCACACATATTTTGGGGTTTTTTTCTTAGTGCAGTTCAAAACTAGGGTTGATCTTGTCACCACAGGGATGGAAAGTGAAGGACCAGATGTGCCAGCTTTCACAGAGCAGCCCTAGCATGGGGCTCTCATACAAGTCAACACAGAATAACAAGAGAGGTCACTGAATCCACTCCAGGTTTATAATAGTGTAATTGAGACAAGAAGGTTTACCAAATCCTTAGTCCAACTCTGGCTGAGAGCAGAGAGATACCTAAATATGCCTATTTACAGAATGGCTTGTGTTACAGTTTCCTGTACAGTCATTTGCTGTGGTGCTTTTGCTTTGAGTTTACACTTGTAGCCCACCAGTAAAATAACCCCTAAAAGCTTTATCTACGTTGAACTAATGATGCACTAAAGATCAGCAGCCCTTTAACATGCTCTACTGGACAGGCTGAGAGTCTCAACTTCATTCACTATGGGAGAAAACAAGGGTGATCCTATGAAGGGTCCACTTTAAATAGGTCTTTTGTGTACTGCTGAGCTTCGCAGCATCTGACACCTCAAATTTACAATGTAAGTCAGTAGCAAAAACAAAGCACAAGATTTATTAACGCGGCGCATTCTCTGCTCCCCCGGAGGAATGCGCTCCCCTGACAAAGAGATACTTCACCCCAGGAAGCCCCACAGAGACAAAATGCTTAAAGCTCAGTTCAGGCAGTAGCACCTGACACCCCAGCAGGGGGTTGTAGAAGCAACCAAGTGAGGAGCAATTCCCAGAGGCCTGAATTCTCTCTGTTACTGTGGACCCTCTGCACTGCTCCTCTGGAGCAATAGCTCAGGTCATATGAGATTTTTGAGGTATCACAGAGCCACGTTAGCAGACCCTTTCTGCAGCTGATGGGCCCTATCCACAGTATCTTTACTAGGTTAATAGGCAATTAGGTGCACATACTGGAGGTAGCTAAATGGACTAGCATAAGTAATAGAGGCAGTTTAGCTGCAGCAGCACTAAGCCCTGTGCCAGACTTAATTTACAATCTGTGCTCTTTCCAGTAGTTGTGCTGAATTAGGTATCCTTGATTGCTCAGTAGTCTCGGTACTGACATAGGGCTTGGGCCACAGCTGTGTCATACAGTTTATCTCTCTGGCAGTAGGGCTTTTAGAACCAGGTGAAATTGTTATGGTCACAAAAGACAAAGTGCTAATCCAGTATAAATTTACTTTGCCAGCATGAAAATCTTCAAATATCTTTTTCAGATCATTTGAAAAACAAAAAAGCGGCTTTTTGTGAGCAAAACTCATTCTGTCTCCCACGTTGGGCCCAAGCTCTGTGTTGTGTGCTTCAGCTAATTCAGCAGAAACAAGATTGTGAGCCCAGGCCTTATCTGAATGAAATTTGTAGGACTGTGTGGTCTGACAGTAAGCTAATTTGGTTTTAATCAGCAGGAAAAGGTAAGTCTGGGACAGCTCTGAGGCTATTCTGCCATGTCAGAAGTTGAATTAAAATCTGGAGTCAGGGGCACTTGTTTTTATTGAGCTTTGGGGCTTCTGTCTGTGCAGTTTGTGTTTACTGTCTGTGCACAGCTGGGTGGGGTTCTGCAATAGTGCCAGGAATCTACAGGAAAAGCAAACCCAGCTCCACTTCTTCTCCACATCTCTCTTCTGTACAGAGCTACTGGAACTATTGTCCCACACCTAAAGTAGCAAATGATGAAGCTGTGCATGCTCTTCCCCCCATAAAGACTATCTTTGAGACTTTTTGCTGAGCTGCTTTCATGAGTGTGCTGGCTGGAGCCTGCTCTACCATGACAAACCTAAGGCATGTCTGAAAGGCTCGGAAGACTGTAGCTTTTGTCTTAGCATAAGTCAGTGCTCTGAGAAGTATACGGAGGCAGAGACTCTTCCATGTGCTGCCCCCTCCATCACCACACCCTAGATGTGCTGAGACTTGGCAAAGGCATGTCAGGACCAGGGACACGCAGTTGCAATAATGCCTTTAGACAATTAGGCTGAAAGAAAAAAGTGTGCCAAATTGTATAAATACGAACAAGTTACTCTTCACTCAGAAATTTCATAATCTCTGTTCTTAGAGTTTTAAATCAGAAACAGTAACCAATATGCACAGAACTAAAACTCAGAATTCAGCTTACATATAAAGTGAGTTCCTTTGGCAGATTTTTACACCCTGTTATTGTGAAGCTGGAAACTGGTAGAAACTCAGCTTTTCCCCAAATTCTCTCCTAAGGGCCCTGTTGGGGGCACATGCCAGGAGGTGGATGGGAGAAGCTCAGTGACAGGCTGGGGGCTGCTGCATTCTGGCTCTGGGATCTTCCAGCTCCTACCTCGCAGCGTTTACCTTGAAGAAATTACTTCTCCTCAGCTTATGACAGCTGGGAACTGTGAAATGCTATTTCTAACAGAGGCAAGATCCTACCTCTGAGAGAAGGATGGGTTCCTGCCAAGCCTGGAGTACTGATGCTTGCTTCTCTAAGGACCTGTTCCATCCTCCTTCAGACTCAGTATCTGCCACTTCTTACAGAACTTCCAAGTCTGGACTATTACTCCCCAGTTTTTTACTTTCACTGCCTTGTTCTCTGCACTATGTCCTTCAACTTCCAGCAGCAGTGGTTAAATTGATCTTCCTTTTGTGTTTTCCCAGCTTCTCTTCTCAAGTGTTTGAAACATGCCAATGTTGTACTGCTTCATGACATTATCCAGACCAAGGAGACACTAACATTTGTCCTTGAGTACATGGTGAGTTGATGTTTTTCTCGCTTCCTGTGGAGCTCGTACCGGGAAGTATTGAGAAGAGGCTGCATAATGAATTTACTGCATTATGAGACATCTACAAAGAAACCAGTTGTAATCCTTTAGTGCAATGATTGATTTTCCTTCTTGATCTCCTGCCTTCAAGCCACACAGACTTTTCTTTCTGTATATACGACAGCTGTATGCAAAAATGATTCCACGTGTTGTGTTCACTGGGGTGGCAGACACTATTTACCTTCGTTTCTGCCTTGCCAACACAATAAAAGTACTGTTCCTGAGCCACAGCAAGGATAGGAAATAATGATATGAGCTCACATCCCAGCTGGGGTCAGACTTGGCACTGACTCCAGTGGTCACCATGACCAAGCTGTGGGTTGCTCTCATGAGGAGAGCAGGATGCCAATAAAATTCTCCACATGAGTCTTGCTACTTCTGTTTCTTTTGCTGATAGCTATCAACCAAATTATAAAGAAAATACAGAAGCTATGTCTTCTTACTGCAGTTTTATGATTAATTCTGGGACAAGTATGACTTCTGTTAACTAGCAGCTTCAGGTCCTAAACTGCTGGGGTAAGATAACAGATCAGCCAGGTCCCTCATTTGACCCAGCACTTAAGCCCATCCTTGTGTGCTGCACCAGATCAGATGCTCGCCAAGGTGAAAGAGACACCTCTGTAGAGGTTGCAATTTTTTCCATTTACAGAAGAGGCATTGTTGGTAGAAGCATTTTACACCAGTAGCTTTGCCTTAAGTTCTCCTCCTTTATTTAGCACACAGATCTAGCACAGTACATGGGCCAGCATCCTGGAGGACTCCATTCATGCAATGTTATGGTAAGTTCCTTAGAAGACTAGTATTCCTTGAAGCATGAGGAAGTGTTATTTTACACTATGTATGTTCCCTGTAAATTGCTTACTATTATATATATTTTTACATATATGACATAAACTTTGGAGAAAAGATGCCTTTGATAAAGATGTAACAACCTCCCTCTCAGTCTCCAAGCCTTTATTCAGTTAGCCCGTCTTCCCATTTTCTGAGCCTGCAAGCGGACATTCAGCTTTTGTGCACAATGACACCTTGTGGCAAGAAAATCTGCCTCTGTACAAATTTGTATCCTCTTATCGTTACAACACGTTATTCATCTCTCTAATTAAAAACTCTCAAATCTCACTCTTTCCTCATCTGGAACTAGTTTCATATTTGCAGTCATTTAAATCCCTTTTGTTTCTACTATAGCTTTTGGGATTAGTTGACTGGATCTGAACACAGCCAAAGATGTACCATTAGTTTGTAGATTGATGTTATAATAGTCCCCTACTCTCCTTTCTATGCATCTTCACATTTAATTAACTTTCAGGATTGTTGCTGCACATTGGGTTAAGGTTTCAGGCAGATGTCCTCACTGAATGCCTGGGTCCTTTTCCTGAGCGGCTTCAGTTAATTTATCTTACAGCTGTCAACAATAACTTTGTGTCTTATCAAACTGCCTATTCATCTGGCTTTGTCAGATCTCTCTGAAGTTCCTCACTGTCACTTCTTATCACAACTAATCTAAATACTTCTGTCATCTTCAAATGTTGCCACCTTGTTCACATCTTTTTCCAGATAGTTGTTAAGCAACACCAATTTTAATAAAATTTCTTGAGGCCTCAGATTTTAAACATCCTTAAAGCTCAGATACGTCCAAGATGCCGTGTTGGAGTTTTGGCACAGATCTCGAGGGTTCTGCTACCAGACAGGCTTGTAAAGCACAGGGAGCACATGGCTGTAATATGTACTCACTGGCATTTCTGTGAGTAAACACTAACCAGCTGCTCTGCTTTCCTGTCCAGAATCCTCATTGTCAGCAGGACCCGAACTGCAAAATTATTTACCGCTCCTTCAGGAGAGTCATCTAGCTTGTTTCATTTTTGCTGGCAAACATTGTTTGTTTTTATTCTGAGTGATTCCTATGGAATATGATGCAAGTGTGCAGAATGTTACAGGGACACCTTTCTGGTACAAAAATGACCTATGGGTGTCACTGTTTTTCCTCCTCTTCAGATTAAACTTCTGGTGAAAAATATTTTTTCTCTGGTGAAGTCTAATTACTTTTGCTGTGTTTTGCTTCTATCCAACTTCACACCTTGCTTCAGACCAACTTGCTTTACCCCAGGCTTATTCACATTGCCATGATGGTGGGAGTCAGATATTTATTTCTTGGCTTAATTTCTTGCTGATTTTTCTGCTTTCTTGCTTGATTCATTCATTCATCATGTCTTATTTGCTGTATCTGTCTAAAGCAGGTCCTGATGCTTTCTGCCAGCTTGGAGCCAACTGTTCCCATTGATAGGTTAGTCAGTTCCCTGCTCCACTGGCAGCAGGTACAGCAGCCACAGAGCTCCCTCAGCTGGTGCCATCTCACTCAAAGGGACAAAGCTTCAGCTCCTTAAGCCTTTGTCTTGTTTGGGTGTGTGTCTTTCTCTTGAACCCTGAAATAAGCACAGCTGCTGTTCTGAAAGCTGGGTCTGTGTTTTGACAAGCAGACCTTGTTCCTGCAATCAATAGTACATTTCTAAAAAGAAGTTAAATTTCCAAAATGTGCATTTAGGGACTGTAAAACTGCCCTCCTGGCCAAATATTCCACCCTGAAAACCTCAGAAAGCTGTAGGGCAGTCATAACCCACCACAGTTTTCTCCTCCTCAGCCAGCTCTACTCATTTTGGAGATTTTTACTGGTTTCTTACTTGCTTTGTCTCTGCTGTGTTCCAGGGTTCTCCTAAAGTTCAGAGTTAATATATCAATGCAAAGTCACACCAAATCATTTCAGTTCTTTGTTGGCTTTTTCCAGCTCTTCATGTTCCAGCTTTTACGCGGCCTGGCTTACATCCACCAACAACACATTCTTCACCGGGATCTGAAACCCCAGAACTTGCTCATCAGTTGCCTCGGAGAGCTTAAATTAGCCGACTTTGGTGAGTCACAGTTTGGATACTGCTAATATATCTGCTCAGACCAAAGCTTTAGCATGCATATAGATCTGTATCCACAGCCAATTAAGGCATAGAAGCATAACCTTTTACTGAACTTTAGGAAACTATTTCTGTGGTCAGTCCAGCCTTTCTTGTATTTATACTGAGAGGTACAGGGATTAACCTCATTTAAGTCAGAACAAAACCACTTAAAACTTGTTCAAGAGAACAGAGAACCAAGCCCTCTCTGTTCAGAAAACAATGTAATGTGTAGAGTCCACAGCAACGGGCTGAACCAAAAGGCTTTCTTGGCATTGGTTTGGGATGGCTGCTGCAGTCACAAATTATAAAGCCCTACAAAACACAGCATATTGCTTGATCTGATCTGCCCCAGAGGTATATTCCAGACACACTTTCTTTGTCAATTGCTTGGGATTATTTGTGTTTAAAGATCCAAGATAATGTCCTGTTTCCAATTATTGTCATCTATGCACTGTACAGGTAGAAGAACTGTCCTAACACAGCGGTTTTTTGTTTGGGTTTTTTTTGCAGGCCTTGCTCGTGCCCAGTCCATCCCCAGACAGACATATTCCTCTGAAGTGGTGACACTCTGGTACCGTCCTCCTGATGTGTTGCTTGGAGCTACAGATTACTCTTCTGATATAGATATTTGGTACTGACCAATTTCCAAGCATCTGGGGCCCCTGGGAAAAATCATCTTTATCTGAATTAAGTCAACCAAAGTTACAGTAGGTACAGTTGTAAGTAGAGGAATTAAATCCTGTGAGGAGAAAATGTGTGAGCAGTGGGGAGTTTTGTACTGCTGGATTTACAGAAGTTTTTGGGAATGATGTCACTACATCTCAGCTATGGATTGATATAAACCTCATCTGATAATATTCATGAGAGATGTACATCTCGTTCGGTAACATGTAATGAAGCATTTTCAGGTCTTGCAACAGAACAACTTTGCTTAATGCACTTGTATCTATGCAGCCAGTTGAGTTAGTAATAGCTCTCTACAGCAATAGCTTTGTGAAGAAAAAATGGATCCACAACTGCACCGTCAATTACTTTGGCCTTGGTAGCAAAATGTGGCATTAAAGGGTTTCTCGATGCATCTGGAGATGGAAAGGTGTCTGAGATTTTCATTATTTCTGTGATATATTGTCCTTCTTCTCAAAGAAAATGTCTCAGATGCAGTCTGCATTTCACACAGGAGAAGGACTGTGTCTGTTACCTTATGAACTCTACCCCAAAATTTAATGTGGTCGGGAATCACAGGAAACAAGTTGCACGATAGCAGAGCTGAAGGGAGAGGAGTCTGAGAGCAGGCAGAAAGCAGGAGAACATGAGGGCTTCACAGAGGTCCCACTGGGCCTTTTGGGCTGGTCTGAATGTGTAACTGGGCCCTAGGGTTCATCTGCCTTCTGGCTCACTTCTGCACCAGCCCAAGCCCACTTCCAGCAGCACAGTTCTGACTTACTCATGGATAGCATGCAGCTCATGAAGTTGCAGGAGACCTTCCTTATTCTGGGCAATTTTACATCTGTAGATGATATTGCTGCTTCACCCTTTCTTCAGACCAGGTAATCTTCTGTCTGTATCTGTCCCACCAGGACTTTTCTTAACTGCTGTGCAGAGTCAAAGGCTGGGAAAGGGTGGGAGTGCAGCAGGCTGAAGAATGTGCAAGGAGAGAGCTGGCTAAGTTTACAAACAGCAAAGCCCCAGCTCTTCCCAGGCTGTATCTCCTTCCAGAGCTCTGCAGCTTATCAGACACTCCAATGGCCTAAGTCTGGAGAGTAGTCCAGGGAAATGGGACTTTTTAGGTTGTTTACTTCCCTAGGCCTGCTGCTAATTTAATTGCTTAAAGATATCTCCAAGGAGGAAAACCCTGCTAAATTCTAATGGCTTCCAGCTGCTAAGCCAGTCTAAAGAGTCCTGTCTTTTCTCCCCCACTACCTGTTATCTTTCCCTCCAGACAGTGTCCCAGAAATGTCTGCGGAGTTTGAGGAAGATGCCTGCCTAGCAGATTGAAGGCTTTGTATTAGACATAAGCCTGTTGGTTTTTTTTCCCTGAAAGTTGACCACTGTCCAAAGCTGGCTATACACAGAAAGTGTGTCATTTCTGCCTGTGCAAAACCAACATCCCCACTGCATAACTCCGCTCTAGTGTAATGAACAGCAACAAGGGAGTGGTATACAAGTTCCCATCCAGCTCTCTGACCAGCCCTAACAGCACAGTGCTCTCTGTCCCACTGAACTACATTCACACTATGGGCACCTTTGTTATAATGCCTCCTTATAATAACAACATTCAGAGTATTTGCCCTAAAGAAAGATGTCACGCTGAGAGAATAGAGCTCTATTCAGTAACTTCCTCTAACAAGAGTCATTTATTATCTTGATGTACACTGCATTTAAGTTCAATTTTTGTCTATTAGGAAATAATGTGAATTCACACAGATGTTACTTGTCTGTTGGGGAGAAAGGAAAAAAAAACCCTATGTCTTTTGGATGCTGCAATTTACATGAAGGCAGGTCAGAATGCCCTTGGTAATGGCATGAGACTGTGGGTGTCAAAGCCCTGGTTTAAAGAAACCAATTATAACAAAATAAAACATTATGGCAATTCATGCATAGTGTGCTTGAGCAGCAATACTGTCAGTGGGAGGCACATGGGAAGTGAATGAGGCCTTGAATAGATGAAGAGAGAGATATAGAAGGAGACTCAGTCACTCTTGGACTAACCAGAAAAGCTGCTTTAATCTCTCTGTATCTTTTTTTCTCTCTCTTTCTCCCTCACTATATCTTCAGGACTTTAGAAGATTCAATTAAGGGATTTCAGGGAGATTACACTGTATATCAGAAGGACTTTCTTTTTCTTTTTTTAGAAAACACCAAGTGCTTTAGGCATGTGCCACACTAGTGGCTGCTAACATCACGAGTGCCTTCAGACATGTCTTCTTTTCATTCAGGCTTTCCTTGTCTAATATTCCATTTAAAAAAAAAAAAAAGAGAAAAAAAAAAATCACAGGGATCTTCCCAGGTAGATTCATGTAGAATAGGAGTTGACACGCAGTCATTCAACATGGATCTGCTGGGCCCACTACAGCCTTCTCCTCAGACTGGTTCACGTTGCCCTTCTTTGCCAAACTGGGAGATATAGGCTAAGGGCTCCACTATACAGACCATGCTTGGTGAGGAACAAGAGAATGGATATATTTCTGGTTAAATACAAAATTGCCATCTCCTAACGCCAAAAAAAAACCCAACAAACCAAACCAAATATGGAGAGGGAACTGTGGGATGCCTCAGAGATATCCTAGATCTTCATCCTTATGAAAATGTCTCACCACTGTGTGATGCAGCACTGCAGACTGAGGTCTAAGTGCAGTGTTCACTCCTACCCCAGGGATTGCAGACAGATACAACTGTGCTATATGAACCAGATCTGCTTATACTTCCTGAATATCCCTATAACCTCTCCTGTTACTTTAGCTGTCGCTGTTTTGATTCATGTGCATATCTAGCACATGTTAAAACATCATGTCTAGACCTCTTCCCAAAAGATCCTTCTCTCTGCCCTATCTCTTCCCAAGGCACCTTTATGGGACTGAGACCCTCTAAGAAACTTATAGACTGGAAGGGCTAAGGCGACCTTAGAAATTAATATCAGAGGGGTAAGAAGGAAAAGGGTGAAAATGAAACAACACCAAGTTTAAATATTTAGAAATATTTAAAAGTAAATGCATTTGAATCATCGTCATTAACAAAAGGATCCTCATAATGCTGTTAGAGCAGTAACTGTAAATCTGTATCTCAGAAGGAAAGTCAAGGCCTCTATTGCAAATCTAATATGATGACTAGTACTAGTTACCAAAGTCCTGCTTTATCAGGTAGACAAAAACACCTGGGAAAAGAGGGGGGTACCCATCTGTTAGTTGTTCTAACTACTTCTGGCCTTTTTTTTGTAAAGAAAAACATATTTCATTGGGAAACAGAGATAAAAACAGTCATACTTCTCACTGATGAATCAATATCAAGCAGGCATTAAAGGCAGCTGGTCAACCGAATCTCGCTACAAGAAACAAAGAACTCCTTTCCAGCAGTTGTGGTTGCTCTGATAGTTTTGTCTTTATTAGAGACACTGAGATTTACAGTCTTCCAGAGCCAATGGGAATAAACCAGGAATACAAAAGAGAGCTCTGCCAGAAGCTACATTTGCAGCAACCCACAAGTTGTTCCTCTCCTCAAACTGACAGCTTGCCTATTAGTGAACTCTTTACTCATGAGCAATTCTTAGCAAATGCTGGCCGCACCTAGGAAAAAAGTTCCTGCTTTTGCCAGTCTAATGGCCCTCTCTAGCTGGGATATCAGAATGCAAACTGTGGGTGAACATCAGGATCACTTGCTTCAAAACCACATAGAGCTGATTCTCTTCTCCCTCCAAATCAAGTGTACCTGAATTGTTTTGACCATACACAGCTAAACTTGTGCAATGCAATCAGCAGATTACAGTAGCCCCTGTGGTTGCAAAATAGGGTGAGCCATTAGGGCATATACGTCAGCTGTGAAAATAGAGGGTTGGTATGACACTGGTCTCAGTAGAACCTATCTGTGGGCTCCAAAATAATGTCTAGTGATGTGGTAGTGCAATGAAACACAAAAGAAATCTATGTTGCAACAGCTGTGGGTTAAGTTTCATGATGCCTGGAGTCTGTAAGAGCATATTAGACAAGCAAGGAGCTCATCTCACACCACTTGCCAAGGTTAGGATACAGGAAGCTAAGGGAAAGTGCAGCAGAGATGTTTGTAGAAACAGCATTAGATATGGATCTGCAAACAGGCTTGGCATCACCTGGTGTGCAAGTATGACCAAAATGAATACCACAGATGAGTTACATGTCAGGGTTTCAACTGACCACAGCCAGGTGGGAAAAGCAACTACAGTATTGCAAAAACAAGGTGGAAGGAGTAACACATGAGTACAGATGACCAGAAGAGATTAGCAGTTATTGCTCGGCAAGTGAAAATATTACTCTCAGAGCTTGTAAGACAAATCAAGGGTTTCAACACTTGAACTTAAAGGACTCAAATATGCTATAACCAAAGACTGACACTGAAACCTGAAAAGCTGTTATGGGGCTTAGTGAAAAGACAGAAAATCTGGAAAATGTTTTGAGGAAAATGACTAAAAAGTAAATGAGGGGAGTTTTACACCGTACAATAAGAGATGGGAATAGTTGCAAATAGGTCAGTCTACCTGACTGTCTACAACTATCTCATCATTATTGCTGTAAGAACTAATCCACCTCAGTAAAATTAAGCATTTTTGCAGGTGTTGGGTGTTTTTTAAAGTGACTGGTTTGCTTTGGCACAAGTGCAGTGCAGGGGATGACATAAAAATAAGAACACTTTAACTTGGTGTTATCACAAAGTTCTTTATGCTATAATATCTTGCTTTCAGTTTCCCAAGGAAGAGCTAATTGCTTCTGAAGGAAAAATCAATCTAGTAGTTAGTACCTCTGGGTTTTCTGCATCTATTATATCCTTCAAGCCAACGTACTGTGTAGTAGTTCCCTGTTTATCTTTCCAACTGTTAGTACTCAGATGTTGCACCCTTTTTTCATGGGAAGCAACCTCATATTCCACAGGCTTCTGCCATGCCCATTTTTTAAGATGATTTGTAACAGGATTAATTGACAGAGACTTGAAACAAGTTGTTCTGTAATGGAAAAAAAGATGGTGCTTAGTGGGTTTCTTTTCCAAGTATATCACCTGTCTTGCCTTGCCAGTGAAAGGTGAATTGGGCTTTTTTTGTGTGTGGTGTTGATGAGAAAAAGGAGATAGGAACAGAATTGTATGGAACTTTGACTGCTTTGGGTTTTTTGTAAAATCCTGGAAGGATGTGAATGCTCCGGTCCTTTTTGACTTGTGAGCTTTTGAGTTCAAGTGATTCAATCTGTAGGACTAGGATGAGGTTAATGATACTACATACAACTTGCAACAACAGCCAGTTGCAAGTGCCTAGAACATGGTGCAAGATCGGGGATGTACAAGCTGGCCCTTCCCAAAGGAAACCCTCCTGACTTTCCACAATCAGTAGGCATTTTTATAGTGCTGGATCCTGCCCACCACCATACTATAGAGATATATCAGTCTTCACTGAAGCCTCTATTTATTTACATATATACAGACACCCCACATCCCCTCTTGCTTCACACACACTCTCACTAGATGTCATGAGGTGGATATACAATACTGACACATCAGACTGGTACTTTTCAGACTTCAGCTGCAATATACATATAGAATTTACAGCTTGTATCAGGATTTCTGCGTGTACAAATCAGAATTTCTAAATTTCCAGTCCCACAATTATATCTCTACTTTTGTCCCTGCCCATCCCAACAGTCACATTACATATGTCATGTATGTGAATGAGTTAATACCTTGGGTTTCTTGCAGGAGTGCAGGGTGTATATTTGTTGAAATGATCCACGGTCAGCCAATATTTGCAGGAACTTCTGGTACTCGTGAACAGCTGGAGAAGATCTGGACGGTGAGTAAAATATACCTTGAAATGGGAGAGACAAAGAATCTGTTGTTCCAGCCTATTTAATTTTGAAGTCCTAAGCATAGGTTCAGTGAATAGCAGAAATAATTTGGCCTAATGTACCAAGTTATAGCAGACTTTGTAACCCATTTTATATTTGGCAACTTTCTTACAGACACAAGTGTAAATCAAATGATTTCCCTTTGATGTTTGTCATCTTATCAAAAATTTAAAGCCAATTAAAGTGACATCAAACTGAAGGAGGCATAAAAGGTGTGCAGGTACTGCAAATTCTGTTGCTTCTTGTTAAATCCTTTACTTACTGTAGGATACAGCACACCATATTCTCACAAAGGAGCTCTAATACTGCTCTTAAACTACCTTGAAAATGGCAAGACCCTGAGGTTTGTCAGAGATCCTTCTTCATTTTACCTTGGAACATTTTGTATCATCCAGTTTATGGTGCAGCTCTAGAGACTGCTTTGGCACAATGGAAAGTGTGAAATTACTTTATAAAGGCAGCAGTGAGTGAGAGCAGACATATTCAGGAGCCTCTTAAGCTGTTTTTTTCTGCTGGGGAAACAGAAACGTGGGGCCATGTCCTTAGTGCAGCTGGGTAGAACTGAGAGAGTTGGCAGCACTGATGGATTCTGTATGTTCCTGACTGCTCTTGCTGATCCTCTTGCTGACTCAACAGGAAGGTCAGCCTATGGACTCATACTGGCTTTTGTTGTAGGTGTCTGCCCTTTCACATCTCCTCCCAGGGACTCTTCTGCATAGAGCGTTTCCCAGGCATGGGTTTTCAAAGGAGAAAGTACAGAAAAAATGAAATTTGGAAAGTCATGAGAAATTACTTTATAGCCTCAAGACTGTGTAAGTCAGATTTTTCCTCCTTAATCCCTTTATCCAGAAACACTTCTGCTTGGTAGGGTTTTCCTCTCTGTTTGTAGCTAGACTGTGATGTCAGACAAGTGCATCCAGTTCTTAAGACTTGAGTTCAGTCCATTTAAACAAATGCTGACTTTCTCTGTCATAGAGAGTGGGAGAAAAAAAGAATTACTGAGAAAAAAAATCCATACTTGGCCAATTAACAGGGTTCAAAGCCAGGGCAGGGCCCAGTTTCTCAGAGTGTGAATGAAGGGTATCCTTACAGTTATGTCTCTGCAATCTCTGGATACATTTCCTGTGGGTTTGCATTAGAGGGTTATAGCACTATCGTAATTTCTCTGGCATTATAACTAATACCGTGATTAATAGGATTTGTGCTATAGAAGGCAAAAAACCCCTTATTTAAAAATCATGAGGAAGCCTTAAGAGCTATGAAATAATTAGTGCTTTTCACAGAAGGTTTTATGTTATTATACAGCCTGGAATGAGGCTCCGTGTTAGGCCGAGATTTCAAAGCTCCTTAGAGGCTTTCGATGTCTAGCTTGAGATATTTTGCCAAGTGTGAGGTTCAGAACAGGGACTCCTACTGTTTTCTAATAGTCAGTTCTTTTCATGTACTAATAATATAGAGGCCCCCTGCACTGGTTTAGAGACCATCTGCATTTGTGTGCCTGAGTCTGTATCACCCAGCATGCTTATCTCCATGTAGGACTGATGGTTCAGACACCATATAGATATTTGGCTGGAAAATCCCCATTCTGTAAAATGTGCTTGTCCTGTTGAATCATCAGGACTGACTGACTGTCATTTCACCAACGATTCTCCTAGAGGTAAGGACCTCCTTAAGCAGTGTCCATCCCTCATCTCTATCCCTGGCTGCTCATTGCTGCTCCTGTGTCACCTCTCACATGTGGGGCTACATGAACTGGGGAACCTGTGAGTCCATTTTCTCCCTGGCTTACTCTAAATGAGAACAGCTCTTTTACCCAACTCATCTTCTGGCTGCACAAACAGCAGCATTAATGACCAGTAGTACTCAAGAAGGCATGGCACAGGAGCAGGGCCAAATGGGAAGGGAAGGCTGGCAGTGCTAGTTATGGAAGTATGGCATGAATGAATGCGAACTGCAGCATCTCCAGTTCACTCCTGACATGGAGAGTGAGCAAACCTGACAAACTTAAGGTACATCATTCAAATTTTCAGAGATCAGGCATAGGTTTTGCATGCAAAACTCCATCTTATTGATTAACATAGTGCTGAGAAGGACTTCATGTGGGCTGGATTAGGCTGCAGAATGCCACCAGTGTGCTTTTGGAGCTGAGCTGAACACGTGACAAATGCCAAATGAGTGACTACAAGGCTTCTTGACATAAAACATAGAATAAAACTTCCCAACAAAAGTAAGCCAAATCAGCTAGGTTGATTCTTTCAGCTAAGTTGTCACAGGAGAAGCAAGCAGTCAGAGGGCAGAGAGAGAGAGGACAATGATTTACACCAAATGAAACCACTTGCTGAAAAACAGGCATTGTAAAAACATTTCTGGCTGAAACTGTGCCTCTTCCCAAGTGGACTGAACTGAGCTGCACCAAGACCTTTCACTATAGAAGGAAGTACAGAAAAGCTGCTTTGCTTTGTCTGATGGCATGGACCAGAGAGTTAACAGCTAGATTTGATAGGGTGGATGTACAACAGGTAAAACAATTGTCAGAGTATAATTAATTTCAATTAAATAAATGTAATGCATTGTCTGATTTGGCAAGGAATCTCACTTAAGGTCCAGGGGGGAAGAGGACAAGGGAGAGGAGATCACTTGCCCTGTTACATTGGAGAACAAAAGTAGATCCAAGTGCATGGGTTGGAAAAACATCTTCTATAAAGAAAAGGCTCAGAAAATACAAATTCATATGGCGTTCGCTGATTGGTCCTCTGAGTGCTTTCACACCTCAACAAAACAAAATTAAAGTATTTGCTGAAAACCTTATGTAGCAAAGTACGAGCATGCACAAATAACTATTTTTTTAAATTCTTCACCAAAAGAAGCACAGTGCTGAGCTGACCCTGGTGAGTATGATTTTACTATATCCTGAACTTCCCCAGCTTCCTCTGATGCCTTTAGAACTGATGTCCAATGGCTCACAAGAAACCTTGAAGAATGAGGGCCCACACTAATGCTTCCTATAAATCTAACCAGATAGCAAAAGAGAGCTGTGCATATAGAGTTTGCTTTGGGCTGACCTGCCCTACTTACGTGATATACACACGTCATGAACGTGTCCTCATCCCTTGGTGCAAGCCAACTTCCAACACCCTCACATGGCTGAACACTTCAAGACACCTTCTCTTTAGGGAGTTTGAAAACTCCCAAGACTGATTTTACAGGTGAGCAGAGACAAAGGTCCTATCCCTTTTCCTTTGCTGTGGCAGGTTAAGTCCATAAGCAGTTTGGAAACACAGGCCACAGGAAGCCACGTCCCTCCAGAGCCCACCATGCAAATATGTACCAGCTGTGAGATGCAGTCCCTGCTCATGGCTGTCTTCTTCAGGTAGCTGTAATTGTCCTCACAGCTGTTTCCTAGCTGTGAGAAAAGCAATCAGCTACCAGATGCTTAACAACTACAACAATCAGGCTTTATATTTCTTCCTTCTTTAATGTATTTTTTTTTTACTGATGTCTGTTTTCTTGCAATCTTACCACAAGTTTTTGTGAGGCTGAGTTCCCCATATCACATATCTGAGCTTACATTTTAAAGAATGGGGATTGTCTATCCCATGCAAGGTGTAACTAATGTGAGACAAATCTAATGCTGGAGAAGAGAAAGTGAATAAAAACCCTGAAATTTTTCATGTTAAAATTTCACTGGTTTTTAAGGACATCTGATAACTCTGTGGGTTGTCTGGATGATAAACTTTGAGTGCTTGGAGCTACAGTACTGATTTATACTATCCTTTCACATTCTGTGAGGTCTTCTTAAATATGTGGCTTTACCTCTTTAGCATGAATCATACATACCAGTAGGTACAGAGCTTTTGCATGCATTAAGGAATAATAATAACACTGAACATCTGCAACTGCAGAAATCCAGATGTGCTTGAACTCACACATTTCAGCAACTAAAATGAGGTTGGAGGAGGCTTTACTGGCCCAGACTTTGCTCAACAAGCAGTTACTTCTGAAGCCCACAACTCCCAGTAAAGGCCAAAGACACTGCTGAAGCTCTGCATCCTTCAGGATGAGGCACCGGATTGCTTTCTAGCACCTGCCACTAGACCTGTCTGCCAGCTTTTCTTTTTCACCTCAGAAGGTAGAGGTTTCTGTCACAGCTCACAGCCTGAGCTGCTGCTGAGTGTATCAGCTGCTGCCAGTGCAAGTGGGCAGAGTAAGTCCCCAGTGCAGCTCTGGCTCAGGAGGACACCTTCAGCACTGAAAGGGGCTCAGCAGCCCCCCGGGCTGGCAAACACAGGCAGAAGTGGCACCTGGCAGTGAAGCTGCATATGCCTTCACTGATGTTCCCAGCAGCAACAGCATTCAGTCTCAGCAGGATCCTTTCTGCTACAAAATCCAAGTGCTAAAATGTCAGTGTCCTTTATGCACAGTGGTAGATCCAGACCAGACAGTGTGAATTCCATGCTGGTTTACAGGAAAGGCCAGTCACTCTCCGTTGAGACTGCTTTCTCCAACTCCACACCAAGGGAAAGTACTGGCAGAAAGAGATTATTGCTCTTCTCACTCTTTCTTCTTTTGCATAGGTATTGGGGGTCCCAACTGAGGACACCTGGCCAGGACTTTCCAAGCTCCCCAACTATAACCCAGGTAGGATTTAACTCACAAGAAGGCCAGCTTTTTCTCTGAGCCACTAGCCACTCAATTTTTGGGTCAGTAATTCTCACTATGAAAAATCCTGTGCTTCAGTGTTATTGAATCCCTCGAGCTACTTAATGACAGTGGTGTTGTAGGACCTACAACAACAGTGGGATTGGCCTAGTATGCAATCAAAGGTACATGCATGGCAAAGTTGCCTCAGTGAGTGCTGGATATACTTAAGTATAAAGGGAGATTTCAGTGCTTCAAGTGCTCACATTTTCCACTTCTCAGTGTAAAGGACCAGTGTCTCCTGGTTTAGACTGGAAAAGCTGACAGGCACCTGGAGACACAGTTTATCTGAACTCTCTTTATTTTTATGGAGATTGGTTTGGGGACCTTTAAACCTCAGCTTTAAAGGTCACTGTCCCTGATTTTGATGTGGGCAAGGTGAGAAATCTGTGTGATTTATAAAGCTGGATTCTTTTATTTCCACATGGGCTGGTAGAGGAGTCTGTGTCCTGGACTTCAAAGGGCCAGTTGTCTCTTATTTTGATGTGGGCAGGTTGAGAAGTAGGCTTTGAAAAGCTAGCTCAGTCACTCTCCCTCTCCCTCTCTCTCTCCCTTTCTCTCTTTCTCTTTTTGTTTAATGTTTTCTCCTGGGAAAATATATTCAAGTGTCAGTGAGGGGGAAATGATGAGCACTGATTCTCAGCCTCTCAGCAGGATCGTTCTGTAAAAGAAATATAAAAGTGAAATATTAAAAACCCTGGAATGTGAAATTCACCCATCTACAATCTAGCCATTCTCTCTCACTTGTACCCTAGGAGAGTGGTGGGGGGAGCCTGTCTATCTGGAAGGAGAAAAAAAGAGCAGGGGGGAGAGGAGGAGGGAGAAGACGTGCTTTGAGCAAGAGGTTTGCAGGTTTAGTAGAGCATAGTAACATCTTTTCAAAGAAGTGGGTGTTGCTCTGTGACCCAGTCCAAGAAGCCCCTCCTTTGATTATGTTGCATGAACACTAAACAGCCCCCATTTTCACATGGTAGCTGAGATTGGCTGAACAATAACCTGGTCTCACAGTCGAAAAGACTGGAATCCTTCACACAATTAGCTGAGACACATTAATCAAACCAGCGTGAAATGGGAATGTGTCGCTGTCCACAGCAAGTTTAATTTGGATAGCAAGCAAGCACAGAGCAGACAGCTGGAGGAAGCATTTTCTTCTCTAAGTTGTGAAGGCTTGACTGGGTAGTCTACAAGTTGAGAAGAGTAATCTGGGAGGAAAGAAATACTCATTTGTGGGACATACTAATCACAAAGAATTTTTTTATGCCAGTCATCTGCTCACACAAGGCCAAAAACTCTCAGTGATGATGATTAGGTATCCTGATGCTATATAGAGGGACAACCTAAAAGTGCAAGCATGAAGGCTACACTGGCAAAGAAACTTGTTCAGACAATGGAGAATGTGAGTGCCCAGAAGTGCCCTGAGCAGTGACTCCCACTTAGCGGTGTTTGGTCTGAGGAGCAGTGCTGTCCTCTGCTGCTGCAGAGGGTGCCTTTTGCAGGGCCGTGAGGGAGAGGACAGACATGCAGGCAGCATGGCAATAGCTCCAGTAAAGTCAAGTCTAGTCATCATAAGCAGTTTTCAAGCCTGACTTGCTTTCAGACTTGATAAAAAAGTTCCCTTAATGGATGGACTCCAGAGGGCCAGAATTGACCTGTGCTGTGATCCTGGGATGCTGGCACCTTCTGTGGCTGGACCAGGCAGAAATACAGGAATCAGAAGATACCTTTCTGTGGGAGCATCCCAGCATGCTAGCAAACACATGGGAGAGGGGAGTTACATCAGTATTTAGGGCAATAGCTGTGCCAGCTTGAGAGGCAATATCCCTTTCCCCTCCTCAGAACCTGCCTAAGGGGCTGTGAGCTGTTCCAGCCACATACTGGAACGAAGCACTTGGCTTGCACCTGGGTTATACAAACTATTCTGAACAGAAGAAGGTTAGTCATACAAGGTTGGACTATTTACCCTACTCAGGAACTAAATCAAGTCACTTTTTGATGGGACTGCTGGTAAGGAGGTAAATTAGTCTCCTTGTTTAAAGCTATTTGCCATTTACATGCTTCTGGGTGCTTCCCCTCTCTTCCCTGAAGCACAAAAGCTGTTCGTACCCCAGGACATGCTCAGCCTGAGTGGAATCTGTGGAGTCTGGCTGAGAAAACCTTCTCTCCTGAGGTTATTCCCAGACCATTTGTGTGAATCTGGGTGCCTGGGTTGGTTCAGATAAGCAAACAAACTTTGGAGCTCTTCCCCAAATCTGATGGTTTGAATTCTTTTAGCTAGTCCTATTGATGTTCGAACTGAGCACAGGCAGCAAACAAACAAACAGGTTCCTGCCCGAGGCAAGGAACAAACACTGGCAAAACAAAGCACTGAGGTGTGATCCTATTCTCATTGAAGTTGATGGCAAAACTCCCCCTGGATTCAGCAGTGTAGGCTCAGCCCCAGACTGAGGTTGTTACTGGAAGGGTTCCTGAGCCAGGTGGGTTAGTAGGAATCTTTGAAATGAAAGCTGGAAACCTTTAGATGTTTTCCTGTCACTACTGTGGGCTTGAGCACATCCTGCTGCAGTCTGAACAGAAGATACAGCATGGGCTGTGGGGTCTGTGAGCCAGGCACACACAGGGCAGCTGGAGAAAAAGCAACTCCACTGCTTCCTCTATGAGCAACTGGCAAAGGATGAAATGCACAAAGGAGTATTTGACCACCTGTGTCTTCTCGCACAAAGAAGCTCAGAAACAGCCTCATGTCCATTGCCTAGTTTGCCAAAATCTCAACCTGTGCCTGGCCACAGGCAAACAGGAAGGATGGGTGAGCAACTCGTCCATGGCCAACCCTGATGACTGTGATCCCCCCTCCCCTCTACAGAAGAGGAGATACCTAGGGTAGGGAATTACATGCAGTTATGGGACCTGAAAGCATGTTGTTCCCCCCTTCCTGGCATGAGAACCATTTCCTGGAGAGCATGAAGGGTTGGGAGAACTCCTGCCCCATGTCTCAGCACACTCGCTGGCCCTCTCCCTGGCTCCCTGGGCTTAGCAGCCCTGCCTGTAGTGACAAGGCTTTACCCTGTGTTTGTTCATTTGTTCTGTTCTCCTCATTTTGCTTCCCCTGAAAGAGGCAGTTGTAGCTCTGTTAACACTATTTTTGAAAGCTCTCATGCTGTGTGAGCTCAAATCCTTGCATTAATCTACTGCTGTGTTCATTTCACTGCGCTGAAAAGCAGTGAGTTTAAATCCCCTCTAAACACCACTGGTGACACCAGAAGGCCAGTGTTTTGATCCAGCCCCATTAATGGTTACAAGTTTGAATCTAGACAGCGGGGGTCAAGGGCAGGAAAGGATTAGGAATCACAGCCCATGACATTAGGCTGGTGCTTTTGCCAAACTGGGAATACTGGAGTGCCCAATGTAGCAAGTTAGTTTTTGTTTCCTTTTTCTTACATTTGGATTCCAAAGAGTGAAGAACAGTGCTTATCTATCTACAACATGATGAACTTGCTATGAGTGAGCTTTACTCCTTGATTTATCACACAGGCTGACTGATGAAGTCTCCTATGCCAGGTAGTATCACCTTATGTAGCAGACACAGGTTTTACACAGCACCCTTTCAGATACACCAATGACTTTCAAATTAAACCTAGTTTTTCACGGATCTGTATGCTTTGGTATGAAGAATGAGATTTAGAAGCTTTCCAGAGGCAGCTTGTGCTCCCAGGAACAGAATTTCAGTGTCTGTTGAGTTTCCAGATTGTCACCAGCAGATGGAGGCAACAAGCAGCAGGCCCTGAAACTCAAACTTCCCATGACATCTGTGAGAATGCAGATGAAGGCTGCACTCTGAGTGCTTTTCCTTTCTTTTTTAATAACTCTCACTTTTTATGCTGACGTTTCATTTAGTAAATGGGATGGTTGAAAACTGAATTCTAAAACGATAAAATTTTTGTTGTCATAACAAACTGCATGTGGCTTTGATTTCAAAGGGAAGAGCAGCACAGTAACTAATGTGCAATATATGCTGGGCAGGGTGTAGGGAAACTTCCTATCTGTGTGGCACTGGGCACAGCCTACAGTTTCAAGCCTGCCACACAAACAGAGCTCTGCTTCTGTCCTGCAGCCACAGAGATTTCACTAATGAGAGAAATTTTCCCTGTGAGTCTGCAACCACAGCGCCTACATCCAGCAGCACTTGGCATCCTCTTTCTCTCTCTTCATCAATTAGGAAAGTTTAACTTTTGTCCTCTAGCTTGCTTGCCTCATTATCAGTTCATTAGCCACTTCCACCTGGGTTTTCAAATAGGAAGGTATTTCCTCATTAGCACAAACTGCCTTGCATACGGACAGAAAAAAACAAACCTAAGCGCTACCTCTTCAGATCTACTCATATTGTTAAAAAAGCCAATCAGCCCTGCACAATCCCATCATTTTTATGTCTAGATCATCATCGTGAGACGATTAAATCAGTAGTTCATCCACTTTTTGGAATGATATCCAAATATTCTTTATCTCTTACCTTTAGGGAGTAGCTGTTTACATTGTCTTACAATTTTAGATTGGTCTTAATCTTACAGTAGGGAAAATATTTACTGCTCTGTTTTTACCCTGCTCAACACAATGGTTCCTTGGCATTCTCTAAGGGTTTGTCTATATGGGGTCAGTCAGGAGATTAATCTGAACTGATTTAAAGTGGATTAGTTAACTGCATTAAATCCTTGAGCAGAGATGCACTGTTTTCTTACCCATATCTTCCATTTATAATCAAAGTTCTGCATACTCAAAGTGGCAAGTTTGGCAGTCCTCACTCAAGCAGAATTCTCCATAGAGAGATGTGTTTGGTCAGGGACAGCCGTAGTTGGCTCAGTGGCCCTTACACTATCCCTTGCAGATAATTATTAATATCCGTGTTATATAAATGATAAGTTTAAGTCAAGAGGCTTGCTCAAGACAGCAAACACTATAATTCAGGTATTCTTCCCAGTTCCCAGTAAGCAAGCTGATATTTCTATTGGTAATGTAAAGAAAATCCTATTTCCTCTTTGGAATATTAATCCTGAAAACTCACTCCATAAAAACAAAGTGACATTTTACTTGGATATTATTGAAACATTCTGCCCTGCTGTTACCAACTGAACATGCATTTTTTTAAGTTTTATGTTAAACTCATTAAAGAATATTAATGGTAAAAGATTTTGGTAGAGTTAAAATACAATATTTCAGTCTTCTTGACATTTTTACTAAATATTAAATGAAATTGATATATTATCATGGAATATTTCCATCTCCCAAATCAAATTTTTATGGCAGAAAGATATAACACCTGAAAGATTTTGGCCACCTCTGTGAAGAGGCAAAAATTTCTATTTCATACAGAAAAACCTTATGACTTTCTAAACCATTTTTTAAATTGTTTTTCTTCTATTCTACCTGGAAATTTTACATCTTTACTCAATACGGATAATGTATTTCTACACATTTATTACAGTCAAGGGAGCAAAAAGAAGGAAAGATGATCCAGTGAAAATGTTATTAGAGATCCAAGGGGAATGTTGTACTAGTTAATCTTGGTGACTGATTTGGGAAGGGAATATTCAAGATGCTAACATATAGCTTCTATATATTGGCAATAATTCCAGTGCTCTGGCACCTAAACATGAATCCCATCCCAAGTTATATTGTCATTTACTGCTCTAGAATTTACCTTAGCATTTGGGTGTAGCAGAATATTTCAGTTGTGAACTGTTACTTACTCTGTGATAGGCAGGTTTAACAATCTGCTGGCCTGGTTTAATGGTGAAAGATTGCTGCTGGAAAGGTCAAGGGCGGGAAGTTCAGTAATTTACACTTTTTCAAATTGTCTGTGCATCGGGTCAGGCACTGAGTGACCGAGTCCATGGGCCTGGCACTCTGGAAATGGCCTTATGCAGGCAAAGGCAGAGGGGACTCCCACTTTGCCTGCAGCAGGCAGCTCCTGGCCCTGAATGATGTGCCCGGTGCTTCCAGGCGGGAAGTGAGGGAAGATGCTCTTGGACGGTGCAGCACAAACCCCAACTGAGCTCAGAGTCTACTGGCAACAAACCAGTGGTGCTTGCCTCCCGGTGGTCTCACTGCTGTAGGGAATTCTTGTCCAGGCTGGGCTGAGAGAGAGGTCAACACCACCCTTCCTGCTCTCCTTTCCATGACTAGAGTACCACCGTTCATTCCCTGCTGCCAGAAACGGTGCTCAGGAAAATGTAGGTGGGTAGAAATTCCAGCCTCTCTGATGCAAGAAACTGTCTCTGTTGATCAGCTCTAAGGGAAAATTTTCCAGGCTTAAGCCATTCATTCATATCTAAGCCTGAGAAAATTCATGCTTTATAATAAAAAATTTGAGGAATGTACTGCTCTACATTTTCCACAATGTTTAGAAATATGTCCTTGAAAAACATCAACAAGAACGCAGCCTTCACAAAACTGTGAACTCTGTTAAGTTCCAGGCTGGTAGAGATCACGTAATCAATAAGTACTAAGCCTGCATGGGAATGGTTAACTGGATAAACAACAAACTTAGTGAGGGACTGGCAGTGAGAGCACTGGGCAAGAAGAGTGGGACCCCAGCACCTTTTCTCTGGTCCCATCTTTCTGCCACATCGGTGCAGAAAAGCCCCATGTACCCACAGGGCAATATGGGAAGCTCAGCAGCCCCTTGGAAAGCCAAGACAATTGCTGGGGATTCAGATCTGCAAACCTCCGTCTGCTTCCTTTGTGCAAAGGCTTTAGGGACTGGTACTGCTTTTACTGAAGTCAAAGGTAAGACTTGCACTGTAACAGAAGGAGGCCCAAAGCCTATACTCACAGATATATGAAGGGAAAGGGTTACAGAACTGGAACAGCCTTATTAAAATCAAGGCTGGTGCTCAAGTCCTATAGGAATAATGTATATTTATACATAGTAAGATGACAGATTCTATAGGGCCCTTTGAAATTCTGAGCACATATTTTTTGTAAGGGCTCAAAGAATGGTATTTGGCTTGATTTTCATTTAATCTCGTGATTGCATATTACACTTTCTAGAACTGGTTGCTTCCAGGAGACCTCAGAGACTCCGAGTCATCTGTAACAGGTAAGCTACCAATAACGGCAATGTCAAAATCGCCTCTGGGTTTATTTGTTTCTTCATGCAATCATTTAGCTTGAAATGAGCTCCTTTGGCAAGCCCAGGAAGTGCAGGGTGGCTCTGCAGTAACAAGCAGATCTAACGTCAGTTAAGCAACTGATTTTCAGAGATCGTAGTAAAGGTAGGCACATAGTGGGTTTATTATTCTCAGAGGAGTAGTGATTATTCTGAGATAAGCAGTGATTCAATGACATTATGTGCAGCTTTTTGTGGGGCACAGTTCGATTCAGAAGGTCAGACTTTCCCAGGCCCTCTTGCCCAGACTGAAGACAGACTTTGCACTGTCCCAGTTTTCATTTCTGGAAACAAACTGTAGGAATGTTGCTCAACAGCAGTAAGGAAGACATGCTAGGACAGCATTTTCATAAGACAATGAAATAATCTTGTGATTAGTTAGGAGAGGGAAAATCACATTCTTAGTGGCCAAAAGCTATGAGACTAAGGCCATGGTTGCATACTCAGCTTGACCAGACACACCAGCACTGCTGAATCACTCCCTAGCATGCTGAGAGAAGGGAATATTTATTCAAGCACACATATGTACACACACACACATATACAAAATGCATGTATGTATCAGTGAAAGAAATTTATAATCAGGCAAAGTGCTGTAACCAAGCTCAGGGAGTCATTAAAATCAAATCCCCACAATACTGATTTTGAGGCACACAACAGGTTTTATACATAAGTAGGAAAAGACAGGACAGGATTTGTCCTCAGGATTGTGTTCAGGCAGAGGTCAAGAACGAAATATCCTTTGAGGACATAACCACATTTTTCATCGCTGCTGTTTATTATCTATTCAGCTGACTGCTGAACAACCCTGCTCGGAGGGAAGTGAGCTGGGTTTTCCATATGCTGTTCTGAACAAATATGCTGAAGTTTTCTGCAAAGCACAAGTTGCTGAAATGTCAGCCATTCTCACACACAGCTTCAGAAACACACAAAGCTCAACATGTCCCAAACCCTGATAACACAGGTCCTGGAACAGAACAAATCCTCTCTCAGCCTGAACAAAGAATTAAGTATATTCCTTGCAACTCTGCTGTATTGTACTTCTGCTTTATGGCCATAATCCCTTGACAGGCCCCATTACAGCCCCATACCAGCGGGCTGACCCAGTGCCTCTGTGGCAGGGCTCTGGGCTGCTCACGGGCCAGCTCCAGCTCTGTGTTACAGAGTCCTCATGCTGGTAGGGCCAAAAAACTGCCTTGGTGTGCTCAGCTCCAGAGAAGGAAAGAGCTGCTTCATACAGACTGCTCAGCCATGACTCTCCATGGCCAATTAAGAAATCAGAGGGGAGCTCTGCAGAGCTTGGCCAACACCAGGAAGCCTGAGCCATGGTGGGAAGCACTGAACTGTGTTGCTGCCCAGTGTGGGAGCCTGCAGAAACGGGGACTGAGGGGGCAGAAGGTCTCCAGTAAGACCCTGCCATGGCAGGGGAGCCTGGTGTGCAGTCTAGCAAGCAGCCTCAGACTGGATGCTTTGTCTCCCTGTCCTGTCCCGTCCCTGCTCCCCAGGGAAGCAGAGGCTTGAATCATTTTCCTGGAGGTGAAAATTCAGAAGTTATTTACCACAGTGAGGCCAGATACCTTTTATAAATTTGTTTCTCAGAGTGTCTCTCTCTACTTCTCTCTTTGTGTTTTTTATTTTTCTTTTTTATTTTACATTTTATCTCCTTAAAACAAAAATGTAAGCATGTCAGGTGTCCCGTATAGGGAGGGGGAGTGAAGGGGCAGGGGGATCCCGGCCCCTGATGTCACTTGGAGGGGAAGCACCCAACGGGGGGCCAAGGGAGGAAGCACAACAGGCCACGCTCTGATGGGCCTCCTGAAGCTGAAACGTGATCAGAACAAACAAACAAAGTAAAAGCTGTAAAACTAAATTACTATTTTTATTTGTTTCCTTGTTGGTTTGTTTTCTCTCTTCTACTTCCTCGTCCCCCCAGCTGTGTGCCCCTCTAGAGAGCAGCCACTTGGCATTGGTATTTGCTGAACATGGAGCATATGTGTATTACATCTATTTTAAGCACTCATCCTGAGAAACAGATACTTCTCTGTGAATCCCCAACACATTTTACAACCAGCTGCTGTGCTGGTACTAGGGTAGGAAAAGAGGAAATGGTATTTTCTTTATTTTTTTTAAGTTTGACCTCTGGTCTTCTCAGTGGGCCAGTCAGATTATTTTCTACACTTGGATTGTCACTGTGAACTGGTAACACCAACCTCTGATATGCCGGTTACAACATGCAAAATATAGTCTCTCCAACATCATTTCCCCTTTCACTTACAGCCTTTTTTTTACAAAATAGAAATTTATTTTCAAATTCCTCTGTAAACATGAGTTTGAGCTGAAATTCTGTGTATATATATATATACTCCAACATAATCAAACTCAGATGGAAAAGTGAATGTTCTGAAAAGCTATATATCTGGAGTGGGTTTGTCCAGCTCCTCTGTGTCCCTCCCCTATCTCTGCCCCAAATTCTGGGACGGGCTGGGTCATGTTCTGGTTCCAGCTTTCTGGCTTGTCCTCATCTCCTATGCTATTTATATTTCTGTTTTCCTAGGCTGAGCAGGGTGCCAGCAGCAGAGAATTTGGCCTCCAGGATGCTTACAGCCTTCCCTCGGGGCCGAATCTCTGCACAAGACGCGCTTCTACATGGCTTCTTCAGCCCTCTGCCTCCTCAACTCTGTGAGATTCCTGCTGGTAAGTTAAGTCTCAATTTCATCTCACCAAGAAAGAGCTACTGCACATGCTACTTGAGTTTGTTCTCTATTTTGATAGTCTCTGCCATTCACCTGGATGTCCCTCTTTTCTGTCTGCACTCCCCCCCCACTTCCGTATGCTGCAAAGTTTACATCCCATTGCAAATTTAACAGCTTGCTTTTCTATTTTCTTCCACTTGACCACAGTGTTAATACTAGAAGGGGACCTTGATGGGCTGCTACCACGGTCCATTTGCAAAGCAGAGGTGCATATGCTTCCACAGGTCCTTTCTCCCCCATTCTGTAACCCCAGGGGCCTGGAGCTTTCCCTCGGGCTGGCTCACACTGCGTATTCAGTGTAACTCACATGCTGATCCATCCTGATGTCCTGAATTCCCAGCTGCTCAGCATGATGTGCTAGCCCCAATTCCCTTGGACCATTCCTCCTGCTCTCTTTTGATGTTGAGACAGCTGTTCCTCGTACCCTGTCACACCACTTCTCCCTCAGTTTTACCTGCTTTATTTTCTTCTTCCCTTGCTCCCTTCTTTCAAGCACACAGCTGCACACACAGCTCTGCCCCTCCTGCCCTGAGCTGACAATAAATACAGGGTCTCTCAAGCTACAGATTCTGTTCCTCACTAGGCAAAGCTCCCTCCTGTTGGGCAACAGGCCAAAGGAACCTTGCATTCCCTGTTGCCTCCTGGGCAACCTCTCTACACTAGTTAGTTTGGTGGTGTTTTTTAAGACAGGAGCAATTAAGAGAAAGCCTTCATGGACTGTGTTGTCAAGCTATTGGAAAACCAAATTTCTGGCTCCTGCAACACATCCCAAGTGAAGGAGCAGCCAACCAGCATTTCTCCCAAATCCCCGAACTGCTGCCCTTCAGAAGGTGCTCTGTGTGTGTATGTGCATGAGTGAGAGACATCTGCATTCCTTTTCTGTTCACCCAGCCACAGAGCACAAATCTACTTTGACACTTTTAGAAAAATGAAAAGATGGAATCTCGCAGGAGCCTGCCTGTGCTGGGGGGGGAGGAGGGGAGCACTCACAGCAGGAGGGAAGTTGACTTTTCTTTATACATATAGGGTTTTTTCCATGCAGAGTTTAAATTATGCCTGATAAAAGGAGTTTCGTGGATGTTTCAGTTCTTTCAAACCCTCCTGGCTTCCTCCCAATTAAATGAGGTTTGTCAAAGCCACAGGGCTCTGCTGCTGCCAGAGAGGCGGACAAGCACTTCCCGCAGTGACATCTCCAATCCCCAAGGGAGAAGATGAAAGTGTCAGTGCCAAGAGAGAGAGAGTGTGTGGAAAAAAACAGGTACAGAGACAGACAGTGTGAGAGAAAGGGAGAGAGTGAGGAGAAATAGAAGGAATGAGAAAACAGATTGGCATAATGTATCAATCTCTCGGATATGCTGCCAGCGAGGGGACAGAGTCATTCCACCTCGGCTTAAGCACCATCCCATATTTATTATCCCCCATATTGCAGCAAGAAGTACCTTGTGGACAGGAAACTACATGGCGTTATCATAGCAACCAATGTGTTGGGAGCAGAATCAAAGTGCACAGGGCTGAAACAAGTGCAGTATGATCATGCAAGATCATATTCAGGAGTTAAGATCATATTCATTAAGCCTGTAAAAATTAGGCAATTTTCAATAATTCCCCATGTAGCCATTCCTATTGCCACAATCGTGTAAGACATTTGTTCTCTTGTGTCACGTTGGCATAACACTATTTTAGAATTTAACTGTATCATTTTCAAATTCTTGTTGCTATGTTAACAGTACAGATTTTAAATATCTTCTGTTCCCACTTTGTTCTGGAGGATTTGGCTATCAATTGCCATCCTCTGAAGGGGAAAGTTAATGCAGAAAAGCAAAGAATGAGCTGGAGATGAAAGGTGAAAGGAAGAGGTGGTTGATCCCAAGGTGTGTGAGAGTAAGAGGGAAACAATATTTGAAAAAATTAAAGCTTCCCGAAAGAAATTATTCTCTATTTTAATGAAATAATTGTATCCATAACTGTCCTTTCTATAAGTTGTTATGATAAGCTGGAAGCTAGAGGATGTTTTTCTAAGGTCAGTTAATGGGAAAAAATAATTGGAGAAATCAGTATTTCACAGATAAGTACCCCTCCAAATAGCAAGTTTCTGATTACTGAGGGGAATGGTAATGGCTAGAGGCTGGCTGTTGCCCCTGGGAAGAGGGAGCACAGGGCTCTTTGATTCCTGGTGGTCAGCTCCTACAGAGGGGAACAGGTTACTGTTGCTATGCTCATCTGAATGCAAAGTGCTAGAAAAAAAAGAGTAGCCCACGTTCTAAGGAGGAAGAGGACTCTGTCCTCTGAGTGGGACTGGCCCACAGATGGGCTTCTAGGCTGCTCACTCCTGTGCCTCTAGGGCTAGAAGGGAATGCTAAGGCCCAGGTTCAAACCCCACTCATCGTCTTGTTGGCCTTAATTCTACATGTGCCAACAGCACCTCTGAATATAGCAAGAGAAGAGAGGTGCAGGGGATTCTCCAGCTTCCTTTTGGTGTGGCTAGTAGCCTAAGGGGTGGCAGTGATGACCTTTTGTAAAACCGGAGCATTTGCTGTCCTTTTTTTGGCTTAAGCCAATTCTGAGATAATTATCTTTGTGCAGTGCAGCCCTGCACTGCAGCAGCTCTGATAAAACTTCAGTCTAACCCTTTGCCATCTGCTCAAGGAGACTTTTTTCTGTCCAATTAATCCCTCCTGGAAGAAAGACGAGATCCTTGAATCAAGAAAGCATGAGTTGTGCTCTCAACTCAGTGTCAGTCCTGAAGTGCAAAGGGTCTTCTGGGAAGGTATCTTGCTCTGTTGTCAGACAGGTCAGACACGGTAACAATTGCAGCTTATTATTCTTAGCTATAGATTTGGTTTATTGTCCCTCTCTTTTGCCCTCCAATGCTTTAGAGCAGGCTTGCAAGCAGGGAGGGTGAGCAGTGGGATTTGGGGTCATCAACAATATGCTCCCAAGAAAGCATACTGCAAGAAGAGCTCTGGCTGAACAACCCAGGCACACGGGCCAGGGAGGCCTGAGCTGGCAGCTCAGATCCTATCCCCACTGGACCAAGCAGAGACCTTTCTCACAGTGCAGGTGCTGCAGTTAGTCAAGTCCAATTTGTGCTCTGTGTGTTGCATGGATATGATGATCCTGGCTCTAACTAGGAGGTACTTACTCTTTTTGGGTACGGTTGGTCTCTCATTGTTACCTCTCCCAACAACTCAAAACCAGGGTGCCAGGTGGTGATGACACTGTACTGCTTGTCCAAAACAGCCTGCTGACAAGGAAGAGAGGGGAAGCTTGATGTTGACAGACCACTGTCACTTTAATACCTGTTGCATCGAAGCTAAGACAGTGTGGGTAGTGAGGAGGTTAAGGCTGCAAACCATTGCCTAGCAAAAATCCCATTACTGTTGAGATTAGCTAGTGCTGGTAGATGTTATCACAGGGGACATATAAAGAAGAGCTGGCTTTCAGGACACCTTGTTCGGGTTGACTAGTTGCCCTAGATTCTCCTACATAGCTAAAAGGTTTATACAGTCACCTAATATTTTTTTACCCCTGTGCTGTGCCATGTCTGTATACAGCAAATAGATATCCGTCACTGCAAATCAGATACGGACACCTAGAAAGTGAAGTTCCTATCAGGTGTATGCATCTGGTTTATAATGTGTCTTAGTACAGGTATAAACCAAAGCTGGTGTTGAGCAGGAAATCAGCTTCCTAAGCCAGAAGCATTCTTATATGTGAGATGATAAAGCAAATCTTTGCTTCACTCAGGAAAGCCACCTCTCACTTCACCCGCTCTGATCTCCACAGTGGTGGAAGGTCTCCTTGCTTACATACTGACAGGACATTAAAGGTTTGTATTCTGTCATTAAGCCATCACCCTAGGAAAGAGCTACTGGAACATCACAGCAGATGTTTGCCAAGGGCACAGGACTCTGGACATGTTGCCCTGTTTGAGCTCTTCCCTGCATGCTGTCCTGGAGCAGATACTGTGCTGGCAAGTGCTGGGCACTGTTCAGGAGCACAGGGTGAAGGGGAAATGGGGAAAAAAAGGAAAGTTTCCTTTGCTCACTCCCCAGCTCCCACTCTTGCAAAAGCACAACTGGTGCAAAGTTTGGCCCACATGACTTGTGGAAACAAAGTCCTACAGACATGGATCAAATGCTCTGACTCCCATTGATCTCAGGCCAGAGAATCTCTATAAAGGTCTTATTGTTCAGAGAGATGAACTGCTCTTGGGGGAGAGCACTGTTAATACCGTTCATGGAGGCAGACACTATTGCATCAGAGGTTAGCAGATGTTTTTCTGCATTTTGTCTAATTGCAAGTTATATCTGATGTTTCTTTAACTTCCATTTCCCCTTTAGCACTCTTAAATGCAAATCTGAAAAAATTTAGTTGGCTTGTTTGCTGTGAAAGACATCCAGACTGGTAGTCTGGTGTAGTCGCTTCCCATCCTCAGGTGTACTTCTGACTTCACCCAGTTATTATCAGAAAAGAGTAAACGGGGATGTAGTGATCAGGTTTCTAAGGCACAAAAGTTAAAGCTAAGTTTGAGATTGTGACAGCAAGCAACCACAAGCATAGGAACTCAATTAGCCTGAAAGACAACTATCTCATTATCTTTCCTAAAATGATATAAATACATAAGAATATAAAAATTTAAAATAAACTCTCTATTGACTGTCTAGATGACTGGATTTCACTGCTCAATTTCTTTAAACACCCACTTTAGTATTTATTTATTCTAAGCGTGAAGCAGCTACGATAATTAGACTGTCAGATTTGGTAAGTTAATGAGGAGTCACTGGAGTGGAAGGTTTTGCATTTGTGAGATTGCTGAAGGAGAGAAGCCCTGTGCCTTCGCTCTATCTCTTTTTTCTTTTTCTTTTTTTTCCCCTCTGCTGGGTGGGAAGGAGAGAGCCTGGCAGTGCGCAGATCCATTTGAATCCTTTTGATTAGTGGGTTGCATTCCTATCACTGTTCCACCAAATAGTATTTTGCTGGTTGCTCCAAGAAAAAGAAAAAGAAAAAAGAAAAAAACTGCAGATGAGATTTCTAGAAAAGGGTGTCTAGATTAAAGAAATAATTTTCCAAAAAAAATCAGAAGGAATGCAGCTGTGAGAAATAGGATCCTGAATTATTTTATATTGTGGCTAATGTCACAGGAGAGCATTAGGAAAGTAGCACAATGAAGGAAAAGGACCATTTTGCAGCTTTCTCTTTAACCTGATTTTTCCACAGGACAATCAGTGCTCACAGTTCCAGGAGTGAGACTGCAACCTGAAATCTGTGACCTGTTTGCTTCTTACCGAAAAGGCCAGCTCTCAGGAGGTTCGAGCAAGTTCTGGTAGAAAGTAGGGATGACTGACTGATTCTTGGGTAAGCACATAGTTGCCACTGTCAAAGCTGCTGCCGTCATCTTTAGCACGTGAATTCCTTTGTGTATTTAAGATGGGAAAACAGAACTGATACCCAGAGCTGGATGATCACATCCCAGCATGAGGACAAAGTGGGAAACCTCACATTCAGAGGGAAGAGATCAGCAAGCCAATGGCCCTGAATGAACAACACTCAGTGGTATTATGGGAAGTTTGGATTTGTTTTGTCATATTCCCAAGTCTCAGACCAGTGCCCTTTCCTCTGATGCCTCTGCAGTCAAAATATTGCTTCATCTCCCCGCTGCTTAAACTGACCAAATTGCTTTGTTCTCTTTTGTCCTTGCCTATTGAGTTCACATTTTATAGCTTACTTGTTTTGATTTCACACACACTGGAACCTGAGCGGAGCTAGGCAAAATCTCCTTAGCTTGTAACATCCTTGGTTTTAATTAATCCCTATTTTAATATGACGCATCTCAGAATGATGTTTCAGCATCAATATTTTTCATCTCCTTTTTGTAACAGAAGACCAAAAGATCACTTGAAATCACTGTTACTGGAAGAAGTTACCAGAAAACACCCTTTTATTATATCCTGTCTCTTTGTTTACTTTGTGCATTTGTTATCACCATGTGTCCTGTCAGTGTCAGTGCTGGGTCTGTGCTTGAAGGGCAGACCTGGAAACTGATCCTGAGGCCAAATTAGTTTGACTGTCTTACTGTCTGCCAAGCTATGAGGCAACCTAGCTGTGATAGCAAGGTACAGCCCAGCTAGCCATCTGTGCTTTCAAATGCATGGAGATGGCAGGTACCTGCTATAGGATCAGGTCCCAGCACTCAGTGCCTGGTCTCACAGCCTCTCTGTACCCCTTCTGCCCTCATCCTGTGGACAACAGCAGGCAGATAGGAAGCTTTGAGTCCTTTCAAGAAGGACCTGACAATGCCAGCCCTGTGACCAGATTGGGTTTTGGAAGCAGCCTGAATGCATTCCCTGCTCACCTGCTCAGCTAAGTGCGGACAGGATGACTGTTCCCTCTCTGTGATCAGAGAGGAACTAATCCTGCCAAAAAAGCTGGCTGTCAGTTCCACTAAGGCTTCTGGGACTACTCCCTTGAGGAGGGCACTCATGCTTCAGCGTTCAATGAACTTGTATTTGGCCCATTTTAACTGACTTAGCAGTTCTCAAACACATCGTATAAAATGGTGAAAACTTGAAAATAGTAGGAGATAGTCTTAAACATTTTTTTTTGTATTTACCTGGCCTCAAAGTGTTTGTGTCACTTTTTTAAAGCTACTTACAAAGAACACTAAGCGAGCTTAAATGTCAGCTCAAATTTTCTTCTCCACTTCATTACAGGAAAACATTCTATAAGTGATGGTGTTCATATTATTAATTATCTTTTTTAAAAAAGCATCTGGACTCAGACATGCAAGCAAGGTTAAAAATGAAAGAGTAATTTTTTTGTCATTTTAATAGGCTACTGATGGAAAGCAGGGGGTTCTGTATGCTTTTTCAAATCTAATGAGAGGTAGGTAGGCATCTAAAGCACAACAACCTCACACTGGCACATGAGAGAATAGAATTTCCCGGGAACATAATGAAACTGGCCAGCCTTCCTTCACTTGCCAACCTGAGTTAAGTTATAAAAGTAGACAAAACAAAAAAACCCTGAAGGTACCAGGCTCCATCTTGAATCCATGGGCTCCGAGCAACACATCAAGGGACAAAACATCATCACAGACTCCTCCTTGTTCTCCTTCTGGTTTCAAGAAAGGAAGAGGTACTGACAGTATCCCTGATATCCCAGGGTGACATATACTCCATGCCAACACTCCATTCATTTTCTACCCTATACCACCCACCTCCTTCCCTCTACCTGCTGAGGAGGAACAGATGGATCATTGGAATCTGCTACTGTTCTCATTCTGCCTCTCAAAATTCAGATAAATAATGCTGTACCTCTTACATGTGTGTGCTACTGTACCAGCTAAGTGTAGTTGAATCTACAAGAAGATTAGAGCTTGTTTTAAAACAGCTGTTATCAAGAAGACGTGACTGAAGGCAATATCTCTGCAGAATATTTGTAATTAGGATCTATTTTTTTTTTGTTATTCAGGACTTAGGCCATGGATTTTTATCCTAACAGAATTCCTTTGCAACTGGGGCAGATTGTACCCTCTATTACACCAAAGACCTTTGAAGCAACTCTTGATATTGACAAAATGAAGCAAAATTTTTGAGATTATAAAACAAGGACAGAGTTTGAGGGGTGGGGTGTGTATTTTTAAAAATCACCTTTCATTAGAAGAGAATGAAATTGCACAGATGTCCTGCCTTTTGTTTTTCAGAAACCAATGTCAGAAAGATTGACTTGGCAACGAAGATGTAACAGCACAGTCTGGACACTGGACTTGCAGAATATACTCAGCCATGTGTCACTTAATAGAGAGATCCCTGGACCAGAAGATCGATGTACAAACAGGACAGATGGGGACTGACAATTGAAAGAATGTAGAGGCTGATCCAAGGCTTATCGAGACCTGTCATTCCTGGGTTTGCCTACAATCTCCTTCAACAAAAGAGCTCCTGAGGGAAGGAGGGGATTAGTCAAAAGTTGAGTGAAGTCTCCAGGGAAGATGGTTTCTTGGATAAAGTTGTCAACAAAAGGAATTGTTTAAGACTATTTGTTATAATTTCCTAGAGGGAGCTTCTGCCATTACTAACAGGATTACCAGCGTACTGGTTCCACACCAGCAGAGCATTAGACATGTGCATTGCAGACTGGTTGCTTAGAGCTGAATTCAGGGGTCTTCTTATATAGGATCCCAAATGTGTACAGGTGTTGATGAGCAGAGGGGAGATGGCAGAGAATTAAGATGTAGCCAAACACAGTCCATTCTTGCCCCAGCTGTTGCTGAGAGTCTTGGCTCATTAATGAGTTACCAGAGTGTTTTAATCTCCTTGAGCTCAGGGCTGCTGACAGACTATGAGAAGGAAAGCTAATCTGAGGTAAGTGCTGATCAGGACACATAGGGAAATCAGAGAGCTCTTTCCCAACTACAGTTACTGTGAAATTTCTCATAGTATTCTTCCTGGGAGAATTGGGAAAGCAAGTGACTTACTGTGTTCAAGTACTAGTCTGCTTTGTTTCAGCTATCCTTTTCTTAGCTCTGGGACATCATAAACCAGTAGCCATGATATAAGCCCACAGCAGATCTGGGAAGAAAAGGAAGACAGATAAATCATTAAGGTGCAGGCATGCAAACTTTCTTGAATACTTCTTATTCATCTAAGTAGTGTCACTGGCATGACTGGGAGAACTTCTCTGAGCAAGAATTATGCAGAACATTGAGACACTGGAACAAAACCAGTCAAGGAGCTATGGGTGGCAGCCACAGAAAGAGCTGAAAGGTGAGCTTTTAGTGTAAGGGAGCTGCAGGTCCGGCCCCACCCCAGTCCATCATTTACTAGCCACACACTGCAGATCTGGGCAGGAAGCAGCACAGTGTTTATGTTCCCCTTTGCCCTTGCTATAGACATAATTGCAGGAATGTATAGATTAACTATATAAAAGGATACACAGGCTATCTGCAGGCACTGCTCAGTTAAGAGGACAAGATATTCCTTATGTTACATTCCTTAAAGTTCTCTGTCTCGATGAAAAGGCAAATTACGTCCCAAAAGTCTTTCTACCTCTAGATTGCATGGACCCAGATCTTCCAATCAGCCACTCTTAGGGTGATTAAGATCTGACCTTCCATTGCAATACTGAGCAGAGCAGCTACAAATGATCCCCAAGTTGGGATATGGGTGTTCTGCATTCCTTTTGCATTCTTGAAGACATCTGAACTAAGAGCAGTGAAGAAGCAGGATCTCTAATGCCTGCAATGGGTTGGTCATGGCTGAATGTCTGCTCCTAATTGGAAGCCACTAAATGCTCAAGATGTGTTAAACGAAAGGATTTGTTATGCATGGGCAGTGAGGGATCTAATGATGAGAACTGAGTCACTTTTCCTCATGGTCTATCCAGAGCATCAACTGTAAATTTCTTCTGCCCTGGAGCAGCAGACAGAATGGCTTTGCTGTTTTACATAGCTGCTACCCCATAATGGCCATGACATTGCTAAATTTATCTATATGCGAAATTGCCAAAGGGTCAAATGACACCTTCTAATTCTGTATCTAGATGGATAGAAAGCCAGGAAGACCCTGTCCAAAGGATGTGCTGCAACCCAGCAGTCCTCTGTTCATTAAGTCAATATTGGAGGCCTTAAACATACCAGAGGAGAGAGAGAAATTGCCTCAGAACGACTCCTGTCCCAAACTAAAGGGAGTACTATTTACACTAGAAGTACTGATCTCAGTAGATTTTCCATCCCCTGGCCTGCACAATTTCAGGGGCAGCAGCTTTCAGGGAAAATGGCTGTAGTGCTATAACGAGTCAGAAACAGTAGGTAACAAGAAGCACATCTGAATTCATGTACCAAGTTAGTGCCACCCAAAAAGGCGGTTTTGCTTCCACCGTTTCTCTCCCTGCTTCAAGCTTCACAGTCTTTCTCTTTTTTGCTCTCCGGCACTTTTCTAAGACCTTGAAGAACTTATTTAGTTCACTAAACAGGTGGAAAATTGTGAGCTCTTTTGCTGAGTTAGTTTTTCATTGTTTTAGTGAGCTGAATTAGATTAAGAAGGGAGAGAAGTACTAGACTTCATTCAGGGATGAGTACAGGGTGGGAAAGGAGGAGCTGGAAAAAGCCATAAAGTTCATATTCTCTTATCTCCAATGTGCCCACATCTAGTTCCTGCAGGATGATCATCCCCTGTCACATCTGAATGTTTGATGTCATTTTGTTTTGAGATAATAACTGAGTGGGTTCTGGCGAGTAAGCGCTCAGAACCTCTACCATTTATGTGGGCCCATCTCAAATCTAGGGTTTTGCTGTTGAACACCTCACAAAAAAATCCCAGACATTTGCAGAGAGGTGCAGGACTGATCTTTCCTTTTTTTCCCCAGAAAATGCTTTCTCTTGGCAGGGGTAGGATGCGTTAATAAAGCAGGTGAGAGTTTATAAAGTGCATGTAAACGGAGATCATTTTGCTCAAGGGTCACCAAACTGTTTCTTCTCACCATCTAATAAAAAATTAAAAACAAATTGAAGATTTTTGAGAAATCCTTTAACATCCTCTTCTGAAGAGAGTTTAACAGCAGACTTAAATATTTGCTTTAAAAACATCTTGAAGTAAATGAAATAACTTCTTTCCCAGGCCAGGATTCTGTTTTCCTTCAGCCTGGAGCAAGTTTGTTGGCCAAATTACATGTGCCCAAGGAAAGATCCAAGGGCTCTGAAACTTGCAAACCTCTGTCTGTAATGGTGCAAGTGGGCAATGCTCTTTAAAGTGTGTGTGGGGGAGGGAAGTGCCAGGAAAATCCCCCTCACAAGCCAGAACTGCATTTGGGGAGCCCAGATGAAAGCTCTGATGCGGGTCATGTGACAGGTGTCACTTCAGTAATGATATTGGGGCAGAGATAAAAGTCCTCGCCGGCTGGTCATGTGACACCGCTTCATTACTGGCACAGCAGGTGGTCGGAGAGACTCAATGCCTTTATTTTTTTATTATTTTTTAATTTTTTTTTATTCTGTGATAATGAGAAAATGTTTAAACTTCCATCTCTGTGTTTAAACACTTCTTCATGCTGACAGCAGCAGGAGATCCCTTGATCAGCTGTCAGATGGGAAAGTGCAATTTTTCTGGAAAGTAAACAGCATGTTTGCCAGTTGGAAATCATTTTCTGTTTGTTGGGACTGCTAGTCGTGGTGTGATGGAGCCATGTCACAGCATCTGACAACTCAGGAGTGGGGAATAGAAAACAGCCTGAGAAACGGGGGTTAGACTCTGCCTCTGATAACAGGAGCTTGAGATTTTTGACACTTCGTTATTGGTATTGTGTGGAAAAAACCCACCACTTACTGGTTGCTTATGAAACTTTTAAAGCAGCAGCTCAGTGTCAGTGTGGATGTATGGGACCTGCTAAAAGAAGCTCCTGCATTTTAATAGAAACTTTCCTTGGAGAAAAGCAAAAGGGACACACAAAGGAACTGAGTAGGTGTGGAGATGCGTGGGGGTGAAGGTGGCCAGATCTCATTCCTGGCTTGCAAAAAGAAACAAAAAACAGTCTTCTTATTAGAAAACTTTGTATGGTTCTGATGTCACACAGGCTTGGTAACCCACTGGGAGTTTCAGGTGAGAAAAGGAAGGCAAATGTGGTCACAGGGTCGTGCAAGAGAGCTCAGCCCCTCCCTGGGGCAGCCAGGGCCTGGCTGAAATCAGAGCTGTTAAACTCTCCTTCGGAAGACCCCGGAACCCTACTAAGTTAACTTTAAATGCTAACCACGTTTTTTTATTTTCCTGTTAGGCAAATACCTTCTCGAAGTCAATTCCCATAGAGAAAAAGAAGATACAGATGTAATACACATAATTTTAATTAAAATTAGGATTTGAATGTGCATATGCAGAGGCACACACAACATTTTTCCTAGGCAGACACAGACAACGTCATATATGCAGAATCAACAAATCAACCTGATTTCAACACTGGCAAAGTTAATTACTCAGAGCACTGCTCGAATCACGCAGTAGATATTTGCAGCAATTACATTACATGGAGTCCTTGGTAGTCTCCCAACAAATGCTTTCCTCTGCTGGCTGCACTGCAGCCTTCTGTCTCTTCCTAAAGATTCCCATTAAAAGCTTCCTGCCTGTTACGCTTCATGAAGTCCTGGCTCATTAAAACTGAAGTTTTGATGCCCGGTCTGTAGCTCTCCAGCACCCTGGAAGCCCTAGAGCTGGTGTGTTGGTGTCAGCTCCCGGCCCGGGCTCCTCGGCTGCCGGTGGGGCTGGGGGAGGCTGCCCGGCTGCAATCAGGGCTGGGCCACACCAGCAGCAAAAATGATCCCAAGAGAAAAGATCAGATCAGAATCTGGCCCGTTGTTAGCAGTCATTAAAAAACATTGCACTTTTAATAGGAGCTTATTCAATTAGCAGACTAACAGGCTCCATCAGATAAGGTGGGGATTTCCCTGGGAATCTGAGTCACACACGAAGAAGCAGCTCTGCACCCTGTGGTTAACCCTCCCCGTGCAGAGCCAAAATGAAGAGGCCAAATCTCAGGAAAGGGCTTATTTTTGGATTTCTAAGGGAGAAGAAAGAGCCTTCCACTGCGCCTCGAAGCCCCCGGAGGTGCTACTGCTGAGTGTGAGTCACACACGCTGGAAGGACCCAGGAGGCTCATAGCACCAAACTGTAGCTGCTGCAGACAGGAGACTCGCCTGATCTCCGATAAACACGCTGACATTTGGCAGCCTGACAGCTTCACAGTCCCATAAGAGGCTTCCTAATTAGAGCCTGGGTGAGAAATAATCCACAACTTGAAGTTTGTCTCTAGCTTCCTTGCTGTACTTTTTTTCCCCTCCCTTTTTGAGCCTTTTTCCCCTTTTCGATGTTTTCTCTCACACGTTCTCAACACATCCCCTCCCCGCAGGCGGAAGCTGTTTGAAACACCGAGCAGGATGAAGGGTCATTTTTGCCTCTCCTCTCAGCTCAGAACAGCCCCCAGCAAAAGCACCCTTCTTGCATTCCACCATTGCCCTTGAAGGAGGCAGGGAGATAAGACAGGGGAAAGGACAGTACACGGTGAAGTTTATAATGAGGCGAGGTATAAACCGGTCTGGAAGAAAACCAAACCAGTCCCATTCACTCCTAGTCAAACAAGTAGGGCAAAACTAGTGCTCCCAGCAGCAGGAGAATGGGGACTCCGGGTCTGGATCCGGCCCTGAATTTTATTTTCCTCTACAGCAAGCGCCCCAAACAGCAAGTCAGGACATCTGAGTCTTTCAGCTGGAGCCAGGGTCTGAATTTAGCATTGCCTTCAAAATATACAATACCATGATGCTGCTGTATCACAGCAAGGCATTCAACCAGCTGGTCATAAATGGAATATATTTTTTAGAGATATGTACTGTTACCGAGTCTGATTTTTTAAAGCTAAATTGTATTCCTCCCATTTACCCCATTACAGGCATGTGCTCTGAATAGTTCCAGAAAAGCTTTTTAAATGCTCTAACCCATGAAATCAAAATTATATCAACATCTGCTAAGACAAGTGTGACTTTTTTACTGCATTTATTTCCTAGAGGATTATTTGGTTATAGTGGGATTGACTGTTCTCTATTTAATATCCCAAAGTCTTTTCCAGGTTAATGAGACAGGTAGCAAAACTTCCGAAAGACCATAGTCATTGTATATTCTGCAAGCTTGGATACAGAATACAGATAGACATCAGAATTAACTTTCTGTTAGAGGATTGCTTCCCTTGACTGCCCTGCTCAGTGAATACCATATTCCCTGAATAGCCACCAGAAACAGGTAGAAACCTGGGATTCTTCATTCTTGGCCATATGTTACATTGGACAGTTCTGTATGTTACCACAATTCATCAGGATCCTAGATGATGACATGGGAAAAGTACCTACAGATATTTGACCATTAGCTCTCTCCAAAGCAAAGAGATTTCATTCAAAATATGCAGTTGAAGATATTTCCAGGACAATGTGTTTAATGCTGAGATACACTGGAATATCTCTGGAGTTCAAAATGAGTCTTACACAGAGGACTGTGGGTCTGCTGAGATACTGAGGCTGAGGAAATTGTTTATCAGACTCATATTTCCAACAAACATATGTCTGTGAAGTAGAGCAGAGTTACTCCCTGAGGATCTAATATTAAAAAAATTCCCTGAATAGATTGTAGCTGTGTGTTTTCTACCATCCCTCCCTATAAAGTGGAGTATGGATTAGTATGCACTATTTATAGAGCCCAGCCCCTGGAGCACCCCTGAAGCTGAGCTGCATTCATAGCCCAACATCATCCCCAGGGTCCACATAGCACCATGACAAAATTCTGCCTTTCAGCATAGTAGAAGCCATGGAAAACATAAGCTGTTGTACTGGACCTAAAATATGTGGCTCCATCCCTGCCCTGATATTTTTTGCATGACAAATTGATGTAGATATGAAGAAGGAGGAGAGCATAGACACGGGGAAAGCTCTCTGAGAGGACTGACTGGGAAGGAGATTAGGCAGAGCTGCCTCTGGGTGACTCATTCCTTGGCTGCAGAGTGGGCACTAAAATCAGAAGAGCATAATTCACACACACATGTATGTTTAATAGGAACCATTTTAAAATTCAGGAGAATCAGACGCCAAGAACAGGTGAATAGCACAGGAGAAAAGAAAAACTGTAATTCTTTCCAATTAAACTCATTTTTTTCAGGGTTTAGAATTTCAGTCATTTAAATCCATTTTATACTAAGTCTTAGAAGTTAGCAGCCTGGAGAAATTAATATTTTTATTATTTTATTTTAAGGGATTAACTCAAGTTGATAGATTTAGAGCAGTTTTTAAGTTTGTTGGTTTCAGATGTTTAAAAAGAAATTTAAAATAAACAAACAAAATCCAGTCAAAAATTTGGCAAGGGCTGAATCCTTTGGGCAAGATTTTCCCAGGAGAAACACAGATCTCTGATAAGCAACAGAGGAGATGCCATATTTCACAGCTGTAATGCAGATCTGAAGCCTCTCCAGAGACTCCCACATGCTAAACAGGGATTTCTTCAGTTTGAATGCCAGATCCACTTTGGTCCTGGTGAAACTCCAGAGGGGCATTATCTAGGAAAATGGGGTATGTTTAATCCACTTTATCATTAATGCAAAGAATAGTCTCAATATTTGTGAAAATCAAAACTATGTGTTATGAAAGGTCCTTCATATCTCGAGTGGAGTAGACTCTACTTGCCAGCCTCCCCCAGGGAGTTGGGCCATGGTTTGCCTGTTTGTAATGTCTCTATTTATGATGGATGACTGTAATGAAGCAAGCATGAGCTGCACTGCTGGCCTAACTGGGCACTTCCCTGAAGGATGCGCTGGAAAATTTACTATGGTGACTAAGGCTGGAAGTGCCACAGGTGCCAGAGTGAAAATAACAGCTCTTAGCAACACAGTCTCACTGTGGCTTCAGCCTTCTCATCAGTAATGGTTGTTGCGTTTGCTTTGCAGAACCTCCTCTGCTAATGAAATATCAGGCCATTTGACATTTTG